TAAGTTGAAGTAACACTTTCGAGACCAGAAACAATAAGCCACCAAATGTAATCGCTTACGTACCAAGTACATAAATAGGAGCGAAATAAAGTTAGATCTAACAGCAATAAATCCATGTTGACGCTTAGTTATGGTAAAAATTGGTAATATTATCAGTCCGTTCAAGGAAATAGAATTTGTGGAGAAACAATTATCAATTTGTCGACAATGTGTCTTTATTGTAAGCCTGCTTCTACTAGAGTCAGTGGTAATACGCATGCACACTTTCAACTTCATCAACGAATTGAGGATAGAGGAAAGGTGCCGAGGTTTCTGAGGCTCAACTTATCCTAGATAAAGTGGTTCCTCGGCTTGTGGACCTTTCTACTAACACTCAGCATCCAAGGGACCAATCTATCCCTTAAATTTAAGATCGTTGGTACTAATTAACAAGTCAGTTAGCTGATCGGAAAAACGATCATCGAAAATAAGGCTGCGCCGACGCCGGTTCAGCAAAAGGCTAGCTAAAGTATCTAGATTGAAAAATCGCGAAGTTGGCTTTACATTGGCTTCACATTGGCGAAGGCGCATGAGCAATTGGCTAACAGGAGCTCGACAGAAGAGCTCGGCTGGATTTGACAGATGTGCAGCTCGACTTTCAGTCTGCGAGAGCTTGAGGATCGAATCAAGAGAACACCGGGGCCATATATGAGGAAGGATTAAGCATTCGCGAAAGGGTTCAGAATGGTTAGCACCATGAAGGTAAGCCTGAATGAAGTTATGGTAACGATAAACAGGATTAGTGCTGGAATAATAATTGTTAGACGGGTATGGACGAAGTATGGAAAAATGTCCAGAAGCGTGGGATGGGGAAGGTGCTAAGGAGCCCATAGGATTGGGTTGTGAAGGGGTTGAAAATTCTTGATGGTAATTAAGCAGACAGATGAGTAGAGGCAGACGACCACGCATCAACATGGTATGCCGATCAAGCTTACGTCGTAACTCCCGACCACGCTGTGTGTCAGGGAGATAGGCGGAGGCCGAGAGACCCGAAAAGTCACGCAGTGTTGTGTCCGCACCTTCGAATATCCATACAGAGCATAATAAAAGAAAAAGATGTAGGTTTAAAAGAATAAAGATGGATAGTCCTAGGTTTCAAGGTCAGAACTCTTATAAAAGGATAGATATTTCCTCAGCTTATCGA